GTGGACTACAAATTGTCAGGAAACAAGAGGTACCTTGAAAAGCTGGTCTCAAGCATAAAGAAGAAAGAAACCACATGCAACCTGAACATTTCAGAAGTAAGGGAATGTCAGGATCGAAATTCCTAAATGATTGAAGCACAGAAAGAACAAACATTTTCTTTGGGTATCACTGTTACAGTTGGACTGAAAAAGACAAGCAGTAATGTGTATTTCACATGAGCAAAAGTCAGGGCACTCTACAGATTCAAGTCCCAAGGCTACACCAGTATAATTTTATACAGTATTCTATACTCTGTATTTATAAGATTTTCAATTAAACAAATAATTTTCATGGTGTTTCTCAGAAATTTCACAATTTCTATCAATTAAAATCCAGTATTTTGGCTACAAAATAAGAGTGTTTTTTTTGTATAAGAACCTATTGTTCTTTGCCAGCCTAAATAGGTTCTTATATATTTGGGTACTAAAATGCCCAATTTCAGCCTGTAGGTTCTTAAATCACTAGGTTCTTCTACGCGGGTGTTTACTGTAATGGTGAAGATGACTAAAGATGATTAGAAGAAGATATTAAAAAAGATGTTAACATAAGTTAGGTTTATGAACACACAGTAAGGCTTTGTTCTAGATTTTATACTATAAAGTTTCCCACGTGACTACACTTCAGATTTAAAGACTGTACATAAATAGAAACAAAATATTTAATATGTGAATTCCTGTTGTCATATAAAGTTGGATTAATGTGGAAAATTAGATTCATTGTTAAAAAAAGATTTTACTAACGTTTATAGTGATATGTGAACAATTTAACATGACCCACCCTTTTTAACGTGTTAAAAAATAGTGACCCACCCCTTATTTTTTATAGCCCACCCCCCCCCCCTGTACTTTATGACCGGTCCCTAAGGTAGACATCTCATGTCTTCTAAAAGGGAATTCCAGTCTGTCAATGCACTATTAAAGGATCTGAGTAGACCCCAGTTCGTGTTTTATCTAATAGGTCTAATAGTTTCCTTGGAGCGGGTGTTATGGTTATGATAGTCTGAGCCTCGAGTAATCATACTGTTTCTTTCACTGTTATTAATAAAATTATGCATAAAAAGACACTGTTGCATTAATCTTCTGGTTGACCTCAAAACTGATATGCCCCTGTTTACAGAAACACTTACATTGCAATAAATAGACCCGCAATTAAATTTTTTAATTGAGTGATTCGTAAATGAAACACTTTAAGTCAAGTCATTCTCTGACCTGAAGCGCGAGTGGGTTCCCACGCACAACTTCCACGCGTCATCTTTGTGCATGTGTCTGAGCCAGAACACTGGTTTTTTGGTGCCTTTTCTGCACTTGATACCCTTGAAAATCAACGATAAATTTCTTGTTGTAAGCTCTTTTGTTTGACTATTTTCCCCCAAATTCTCAAATTTCTATTCTAACACATCCTCAAATTTCATGCCACACATGGGAAGCAAGATGAGTGGATTTCTAAGAACTCTGTGGTGGATTGTTTTATTCTTCTACTTGTTTTGTGTCGAGATTTGGGGAATGAAGTGTTTAGAGAAGAGATGTTACTGCAAGGAGTAACTGCGATTAATAGACTGTTCCCGAGCAAAATTGAAGGCAATACCTAAATCAGTACCACTGGTAAACTACATCACGCTCAACTTGAGATCTAATTTATTGGTTCAAGCATATTTTTCTCTGTTGGAGGAACAACTTCCCAATTTAAAAATGGTGGACCTGAGGGACAACCCGTTACACTGCAAAGGATTCCCGGACAAAACGATTTTAGGAGTAATTACTGACTGTAAAATTACTGAGGCGGTGTCTGTGAAAACCACTAAAACGACGGTGACCAGAACAACTCTCAAGGTGAACTCGCACCAACCAACAATGACTACAAATATTTTATCATCACAAGATCTAGACCCTCTTACTTCCATAATTATTTATGGCTGTTTTGATCTCAACATTTGTCTTAATGCCGGTCCTCATCATTTGTTTGAGAGGTGTGGGAAAATTGTTTAACTTGAAGTGTACAAGGACACTTCCGATTTCCCGTGAGCTGAGTCTTTTCAATTTTGACATTGATAGCGAGGAACATGTAGTATTCGATGTCACTGCGTTGTAAATACGCGATGGATTTCGTGTGTTATTGCACCAAAATCTAAAGAAAAATATATTAACTTTTACAAATCGTTTAAAATACAAGTCTGTTGATGTTATTCTAGGAACTAAGTTT